TCATTGCCATGTACTATGACCGTCATCCGGTGACAACGGTGGGCGTTTGTCCTCCCACCTGATTTGTAGAATGGTAACACTTCTAGGATATCTTCAGTCAGCAGATTTTCTGTGTGCTGATTAAAGAGACTGCAGAGTTGCAACTCATGTGTGATCATCATGAAGTGGAGTTAGGATCCACAATAACTGCACACTGGCTCAGTTCCCAGTTTTCCAAGCTATACAACTTCCAATTTAACTCCTCACCAAATTTTACCGATAATAAGGATAAATTACAGAAAATAGATACCCAGCTAAAGCAAATAAATAAAGGCACACTATTTACATGTTGTTTCGTTGTTAGGTTAGTAACGTGACTGCATAGTTATGAAATCCTTTGCTGCGAAACGCTGCTTTTCCATTTGTATTCATCAGTCAGAATATAACCATTATAGGATTATGAAGCTTAAATTTTGACCACTGAGAAGAAATACACAACTACATACTGTTAAGCTGTTTTGTCATCAATTTCTCAGAACTATAAGTGTCATGTTTTATCAAATCAAGAAACTATGGCGTTACTTTTAGGTCTAGACTTACCCAAAATGCGACCCTATTTATTCAAAGCGGCAAATTAATTGCGAATGTAAACTGATATCAACAAGTGAAGAGAAATATGCACATTTTGTAAGGGCCTGGTCATAAGAAGGAGCACACTGAGTAATTGTTTATCATGATGTCCTTTAAGAGCATCGAAGGCTCTCTCCCACGCAGTGGGAACCAATCTCCTCAACGATCATGATCATGACAGCAAATTTCAACTCAAAAAGAAGGAAGGTCACAATCATACAATGCCAATACTACTCACCTACAAATAATGCAGAGCAAGAGAAAAAGGAGGAATTCTACAGACAACTGCAATCAGCGCTGTACAAAACCTCAGTTGGCAACACCAAAATTCTAATGGGCGACATGAATGCCAAACTGGGAGCGGACAACACAGGAAGAGAACAAATCATGGGTGGAGAAGCGCTCGGTGAGGTGATGAACGAGAATGGAGAATTGTTTGCAGAATTCTGTGCATTCAACGATTTGGTGATTGGAGTCAGGCAGTGTGTTCAAGCACAAGGATATTCACAAAGCGACACGGATTTCAGCAGACACCAGACACACTAAAAATCAGATCGACTTTATCTCAATCTCAAAAAAGTGGAGACGCAGTCTACTTGACACAAAGTCAAGAAGAGGAGCAGATGTAGGTTCCCACCACTCACTATCTAGTGCAAGGAACCTTCCAAATCAAGTTGAAAGCCTTCAAGGAAACTGGTGATAGACCTCAATTCAAGTACAACACTCAGAAACTGAAGAACAAAACGACAAGGGACATCTTCACGTCAGCCATCAAGACAAAATGGGAGATATCGAGGAACATCCCTGAAGAAACCTGTGTGGAAGAACACTGGAAGTCTTTAAAACAGATGTGGAAAGAAACCTGCATAATCGTATTAGGAAGAAAAAAGAAAGAAGATAAGGAATGGATCTCGATGGATACCTGGAAGCTGATTGAGCAGGGAGAGGAGGATAGTGAAACAGAAGATAAACCAGTGCAAGGATGCAAAACGAGAAGAGGATCTAATTGCAATGTATAAAATACTGGACAAAGAAGTGAAGAAGAGTGCGCGGAAGGACAAAAGACACTTCTACAACACACTGGCAAGTGAAGCAGAACAGGCTGCAGGTAGGAGAGACCTGACAACATTATATCAAATAACCAGGTTACTATCTGGGAGGGAAGAGATCAACGCAGACGAAACCAATAAAAGATGATGAAGGAAATATAATTACTAAAGAAGAGAAACAAAGGAAACGATGGGCCGACCACTTCAAGTAGCTCTTGAATCGACCACCACCACTCCCCTGCACTTCATCCGGAAATATTACCTGCAGCCACAGAACTACAAGTGAACATAAATCCTCCAACAAAAGTAGAAGTCCTGAACTCCACAAAGCTGCTGAAATGTGAGAAAGCAGCAGGACCAGATGGAATCCCGCCAGAAGCACTAAAAACAGACGCAGAGACAACATTGGACATACTCACACCGCTATTGCAGGTGTGGAAGGAAGAGAAGGTACCTGCTGATTGATTGGAAGAAGGGTTACCTTGTGAAACTCCTGAAGACGGGAGACCTCAGTGTTTGCAAGAATTGGCGAGGAATCACGCTCCTGACCACCCAGAGCAAGCAAAATATTAAGCTGCATCATCTTGGAGAGACTACAAGATGCACTGGATTCAAAACTACAACCGGAACAGGCTGGCTGGCTGACTGGATTCAGGAAGTACAAATTATGTGCAGACCAAATTGCAACCCTTCGCATCATCATAGAACAGAGCATAGAATGGCAATCAGCTCTCTACCTCAACTTCATCGACTTTGAGAAGGCTTTTGACAGCGTCGACCGAGAGGTAATTTGGAAACTGCTTCAATACTACGGAATACCACAAAGCTTTATCCGCCTCATTCAACAACTATATGAAGATGCCACATGCCAAGTAATTCACAATAGGAAGCTCAGTGATGATTTTGAAGTGAAGACAGGAGTGAAACAATGTTGCCTACTATCACCCATAGTATTCTTGATTCTTGTTGATTGGATCATGCAACAAACAGTGAGGAGCGAGAAGAGGGGGATACACTGGACTGCGGAAAAGAACCTAGAAGACTTGGATTTTGCCAGTGATAACTTGTGCCTGATGTCACATAAACTTGAAGATCTACAGGCAAAAACTAACAAGTTGATAGAAGAGGCAGCTAAGACGGGACTTCAGGTGAATATAGAGAAGACAGAGGTGATGAAGATACCTCACCACCAACAACAAGCTTCAATCACCATCAGCGGGAGAAACGTAAAGAAGTAACCTCCTTCACTTATCTAGGAAGCACTGTTTCAACTACAGGCAGCACAGACGAGCATGTCAAAGTCAGAATCAGAAGAGAAAGACAGGCGTTCATTAGCCTGAAACCAGTGTAGAGATGTTCTGCACTCAGCATATGGAACAAGATCCGGATTTTCAACACCAACGTCAAGTCAAGTCAGTGCTTCTGTATGTCTCAGAGACTTGGTGCGTTACGAAAGGCATTTCCAATAAACTACAGACATTCACTAACAACTGCCCACGCTCGTTACTGAAGATCAGATGGCCAGAAAGAGTAATCAACAAGGAGCTCTGGGAACGAACCAACCAAGAACCTATCGCTCAACGAATATGCAGAAGAAAGTGGAGATGGATCGGATTGGGGGATACACTGAGATCGCCGACTGGGGACATCATGCGTCAGGTCAGGCACTCAAGTGGAACCTAGATGGGAAGCGATGAAGCTACTAAAGCCCTATGTTCCATCAGGAACCCAAGGGACAAATAATAATAATGGTCATAAGAGGATATGCTTGAAGGTAGGCGTAAGTTATCATGATTGAAAACTCATATTTAAAATGTGTAATTGGAAAATGTCGACAAATGAAAAAATCTTTTTATACAAATCACTACATTGAAAACCTACCATGCTCATGCAAGTGATACTGTTGATCAGTCAGTAGATCAACGTCTTTTTAAACTTGATAATTTCTTGGCCTTGGTTTTGTACTATGTTTTTTTGTATATCTATGTTTCGCTTGTTAACTCTAGGCTATCATAGCCACCTTCAGTGTGGTTATCAATAAATCACTACCCACCTACAAGATGATTTCAAACTAATTACTAAGTGCTTATCAACAGAGATCTAATAACACTCAAGATTTTAAGGTCATCACTCTTCAACATTATGTGCATTTTATATCCCGAAGTTCTAGTGGGAAGCGGTGGCCTATGACGTCAATCACTTGGAAGTAAAAAGGACGCCAACCGAAGACCCTGAGTGATATTCACGCTATATCGCAAATTAACAGAAACAGAAAACTGTCGATCACTGACCTCCGACCCAGTGGCTGGATGGTTCAAGCGTTCGGCGTAAAACCTAAGGGTCTTGAGTTCAACCCCTGGCCGGGTCATGGGTGTAAACTGATGAGCTGTCCCATACTGAAACGAAATAGCTATCCAGTGCCCCGAGGTTTTCAATGGTTTTTCAACTGATGTCAGTCAGTGATCAGTACCACTTTATGTACTAGATGACTATTCGTTTCACAATACCATGATGTCAACCCACTAAACTACTATTGAAATCTAAGGATAATGGTTTGGCCTTAGCTTTACATTTTTCACTCAACTGCCTACTATGCCTTCTAAACCAAAAATATAACAGATATGAATAGTATGCCGGCTAATTTTAACGGGAAATCTACTTATTTCATACTAAAAGTGTAAATGCTGTCAGTCTACATTGGATTCTAAATGTAAGGAGGTTTTGAGTATCAGTGAAGTATTGTTAGGCAGGATAGCTTTAGTTTGTCTTCAGAATCTAGGAATCGTATCATTAACTCACACTTATCGAAGGGGCTATGATACTGACTACTATCATTTAAACAAACTGATTTCTTCAACTTTGAAGAAATATAGTGGTTTAATTCTTTTCCATTTTTTCTAGCTTACAGGAGATAGTCTTTAAATGAATTATGACCACTTTCTCGCAGTTTCTGGTTAATACCAAACTAGAAATAATGAAAAAGTAAAGTTCAGGGGGATTCATTCAACTAACTGAATATTATATATTTCCAGTCAACTGAAAATCTTTCACTGTTGATGACTTGTCAGTCAAATGAAATTAAGAGGTACACTCTTGTTACTGTTTTAGATTTCTGACCTTCAAAATTACAAGATCTTGAGGATAACAAGCTAACACAAAACTACCTAGTAGAATACAAATAACATACTGTTGGGAAGAAATGGTATCTGATTTAACGTTTTATAAATACAAAATGTAAACCTACCTCTTCTCCATTTAACGTTATGAAATGTACAAATAATTAAAAATTTGTAACTCTGCTGTCAGTTTGATATTTTTCTTCCTCTTTTCTCTTTGCTAAAGATACCGGAAGATGTGGAAAGTATGGACAGTGGACATGGATGTAGCACAGACACAGCAGTGGTAGAAAACCATTTATCTAACTCCAGACCTCATAGTTCATTGAATACGTTTCGCGTTAACAGTTCAACAATGCGTCAAAGTAAGTTTATTCAAAAAAATATCATCCATGTATTGCTACGTTCAAGGGTTTTTGACCGCAAATAATATCAATAACAAAGTGAGCAAACATGCTCTTCATCAGTCCAGTACAGAGACAAAGACTGGTAAAGATTTTCCTTGAGTATAACCCAGACATTCCTAGTCGATGAATATTACTTCTAATTTTCTGAAGTAGAACTCAGTCAACTTTAACCGAAAGATTTATTACCATATGGGATTGCTTTCAATTAACTTACTCCTGGTCTTTAATGAAAGTTCAACTACTTTTCAGTGTTGGCTGTTCCAAGAACTAACATCAATCCAGTCAGTAGTAGATCACTGAAACCATGCTCCGAAATTCACTGTTCAACAAATTCGATACAAAGATAACGGTAGGAAATCTGCTCCATTACCAGCCTATATTCTGTATCAACGAATCACTTTCTAGTGAAGTATGGGAGCTAAATTTTATTAATCCACAAGTTACTAACACCAAATAAGAAAAGAAATTTGTTATGAACCTTGAAATTCGGGTCTCCCGTTGGTATACATTTACAAATAGATCACGTGCACAATTTCGAATGAACTCATGTTAACTGCGGTGAACTCAACAGAGTCATGATTGAAACACTTTAACACTGGTCGGATTCTAGCTCCAGTGTACATAACCAAGTTTGTTCTATTTACTTACGAATGGTCACTACAGATGCGTTGTTTTTTATACCAATCGCATTTACTACAAACCTATTTTACCGTCATTCGACGACGTCGATTCTAAACACTCTGATGACATTAGACTTTTTTTATGTGAAATCAACAACAAAAGTTTGGTGAAATTTCTGCAAAGATAGTAGAGTATGATGATTCCTTGCACCAACTAATACTTCGCGTTTACAAATATTTCATAGCTTAATTTCACGACGGTCAAATCTACTAACCTCTGAGATACCAGACATGATTTGATATCACCACTAAATAAAAACCAGCAAAAAACAAGTAAACTAGTGGTGTTAAACACACCCAAACACATGCAAGCTGTGTTTTCATGAGGATAAGAATTTTCTGAATCCCAAATCTAGCATTAGTTGGTAAGAGGACTAGTTTTAACCATCCCATTTATGCAAAGTAGTAATCTTGAAATGTGTGCACAAAAGGAGAACAGAGAAAGATACCAAAAGAAAGAAAGTATGAAGGTAAAGCAGATGCTTATCACTTATATCTTTTTTAAAAAAAGAAACGAAAACTAGGAAAATACTCAGTCATCGCATAAATATAAAGGAATGAGGTAAAATTTCAAGAGGAATATAAATGACTACTACAACTTTATCTTTTGTTATCTAACAGATAGTTAAAACCATCAGAACAAAATAGTAACAGTTGTTCGGTAGAAGTATCCTGCGAGAGAGCCAATATGTATTGTGTGAAACATGCATATGTTAGCATGAACGTAGTTGTTGGTAACAGATAAGCAAAATTGATTTTCCAAAAGCTGTGAAATCTGACATAACTGAAATTATGCCAGATAAGTGATATAAATTGATTTACTCCTTTTAAAATGGGACCATAATTATTTGCATAACCAATTGTTACGTAGTTATGTATTTAAATGAGACTTTAAGAAGCATATATTATGAATTTTGTAAACCGGTTTGTTTCAACCCCTTTGTAATCGATATGCACCTTATGAACGACCCTCAGAATCCTTTGTAACCTCCTTTTGTTGTCATCCAACTTCTACTTCATCAATTAGTGACATCGTTATAATTATAACCACCATTGTTGTTAGTTCTATCTCCCACTGTTTTTCTGCTAAGCAACGTGGATTAGTAGAAAGTCAATGTTAAATAAAGTGATGTCTAAATTGCTGTCACATTTGTTGGAATTACTTGACTCAATTATTGAACTCTCAGAAGGAGATCCTGATTGAGATTTCAGTTACATCTTAGAATGTACATAAAAACTTCACAATTTTTATGAATTTATCAGCTTATTATTGTTCTTCTTCACCGTTAATATGAAATTCATGAGAGATCAGTCAGTTAGATTACATCCATACAGTTCTTTAGTTCACTTCCCAATCAAATGATGCAGACACTCCCATTTCCATTTCGTATGAAATGTTTAGTAAATGGATCTTACTAACTGGAAAAATGTGTTCAAATCACCTACCTTGTGTATTCCTTTTTATTACTTATATTAAGCAGCTAGGAGAATGTAATAAAAGTTTTTAAAGGGGTGATTAACCCAGAAGCTTGACACTATCATTTTCTAAGCTTTCAGGACTCTCTCTAGGCATCAGTTTCCATAGTTTTAAATCTACCAAACCCATCATTATCATCATAACCTCAAAGTTTATTGTCTTATAACTTTAGTTTTTAGTGGGACATTTAGCTCTGACTGTACATTGATAGCTCCCTGAAGAGCAACCAGTTTCATCCTGTCTCCAAGTAAGTGCTGACCAAATTCTGTCAATCGTTTTGCAGTGTGGCCACCACTCAGGGACATGCAGCATTGTAGTGCACTTTGATGATCGTTACTTGACTAGAGGCGATCGGCCGGAAGCTCTGGACCTAGGTTTTGGGCCTTTTGGTACTTGTCAGGCAGGCATATCGGTGTATCGGAATTGATACCCTCCGTAAGACCCAAATCCGCATCACCCACGAATGTAGTCAACAACGTTACCATTGGGCTTTCGGACTACAAACGACATTGCTGATTGTTGCAAAGGATGATGCGAATCTGAAACTTGAAGAGGATATCAGCTCCCTCTAAGTTATAGACACCCCTTACTAACGAGTGCCAACAAGCATGAAACCTAGGTCTAGGGCTTTCTATCGATTGCCACCAACTAACAGCTTTGACTCCTTTTGAGCCTCACTATAACTGCCGAGAATCAAATCCGGCATAAAGAATTCTATATTACCATCATCCCATCATTGTATCATGCCTTGTAAAGTACTATAGGAACGCTATTTTATGTGTGACAGACCTAACATGGATTATCAGGCATTTGATCAATGAGGAATCATACTATCTTTGGTATGAGTTACACTCAACATTAGGCGTAATTTGTGATCATTTCCGTGTACACATTCTTGAAGAACCTAGAAAATGCACACTACAATCAGCGGTAATCATTTGACCAACTAACAAATACATCAGAAGAAAAAATGTAGCAATCTGTATTGTAGTAAACCATGTTCAAGATTAACAATTATTCGTAGCAAAGTCTACAGCCTTTCAGAAGAAATTAGAATCCTGTATAAAGTGCTTATTTCCAAAGTAGTATTGGAGACAAAACTGCTGCAACCATGAAAGTAAATAACTAGTATATTCGATCTAAAGAAAATTTAACACGTTAGATATCAGTACATAATGAATATTATATCTTTTGAGTTACATAATCTATTTTCAGAGATGATTGTCAGGATAGTATGTATTAAAACAGTCCATAACACTTTATTTATATTATTTCATAACGAATTGAACTATTAGTATTTCTAACTGTACTAATTACTCTTTTAACAGCACCAACTTGTTACTGTTCTCTTAATGTTGAACAATTAAAGAATGCCTTAGTCACAAGAAGCCCAGAGTTATTACCCTGTGAAACAAACGATGTGACATTAAAAGTGTTAGCATATCGTAAACGAAGTGGAACCTTACCACCGTGTTCCCATCTTCTGAATAATGATGGAAACAAAGATGAAGATGGTGCAGTTTCTACAAATTTCTCAAAAAAATTAAATTCTGCAAAATCATCCGGTGATCTTTTAAAAGTTGTTGATGCAAAATGTTGTCTTAAAAATAATACTGAACAACAGCCTAGAAATCGTCTATCCGTTTCATGGCTAGATACACATGTGAACTGTAACAAAGATCAAGAATGCACTTCAAATGATGTCACAACTCTCTGTACTCCTACAGGTAGCCCTGATTGTAATAGCCTGATCACTGGTAATGACAAGAATAGAACACCAGGTTCAAATTTAGATAGCGAAAATACTAAAGGCGAATGTCAAACCGATATGTCACAGTCTACTGAAGGTACAATGATTTTATTCAGTCCAGTGGATCCACTTGGTTATGCCCAACTAATTCATACACAATCAGATGAACAATTCACATCACCACAGAATATTTATACAAAATTCCCTACAAGTTTTGTTTAGCCTATATGTAAAGAGAAATGGACAAAGTATGATGGAAACAAAGAAATCTACCTTATTTATCATAATAAAATCTAAACATAGAACTTTGATCAGAAACTTTTTTTCTTTAAAGTTAACATTATTCATACAATGTATCTTTTAAAAATCACAGACTCTCACCAAACGAGCCTTCAGAAATAACTGGTTGTTCACTTCGTTACTTTTTGTTTGCTGCATTTTTACATTGTCACCCCATTTTTAGGGTGATTTAAGTGCCGATGAAGAAAATTCAATCACACTGGTAAATTTACAATCATGAAAAGCATATACTTATATATGATATGTATGACAAGAATAGAAAAATGAAAAATGATTTTTAAGGATAAAAATATTCCATGCATACGTAAAAATATATAATCAAGATTGAAATATGACTATTCATCTATACTTGTTTATATAAACAAATTTGTGCTGTTATTTCTAAGGTCTCATAATGTATGTTTTCAAAAAAAATATACAGGAACAAGCAGTTTCTGCTAGAGCTACATTTGAAATGAACTGTACAAATTACTTATTAAACAAATGACTGATGTTAGTTTATCTTCTTATTGATGAAACCACCCAGCAACAGTTATTTTCTGATTTAACTTAAGAAATAATTGAGAAGACTGATATGACTCTGTGACAGTATGAAATCTTATACTGGCCCAGCAGAAGATAATCCTTACTGGATGATGAAGTGCTTTATCATCCACCACCAATCAAAATTTATTTATACTAAACAAGTAGATAAATGGTATTGAATCAACCGTCAAGTTTGGGTATAGTTATACCAGACTGTGAATTAAAACAAAGTGAAGACTGTGTATAATTTAGATTATAATCCAGTATGCTGAAATTACTGAACTCATTAGGATGTATGAAGTATTATTGCCAGATCACGGAATAGTTTAACCCAACCACTACTAGTAAATCTAGAAATATAGTAAAGTAATAAGCTTTTCAATGTATCCTGTTCTTTGGAGGGCCTTTAACTGATTTTGGGTTCTGCTTAAAAAAGTCTTCATGAAACAATCAGCCGGCTATAGCAAGTTTATCACATTTCACCTTTGAAAACAAACGCCTGATCATTAGACATCATAATCAATTAAGTGCAAGCACGAAACCACAGTGAAATTATACAATTATCCACAAACTAACTGGCTAGAAATTAGTGTCACATAGTCAGCTTTCATAAAAAATCATTACAAATACTAGTCACTGCTTCACTTCACGAATTAAATGTACAGTCTTCTGAAACAAAGATTACATACCACTTACTTATACTTATGAGTGAAATGATGGTATTTCACTTCCTCATTAAGAATAATTAGACAAAAGCCTGTGCTTCTCGAGTACAAAACAAAAAATCAGCTTGGGACAACATAAAAGATATTCATAGTGAAGAATACTAGGATCGCGGAGCAGTATATCTGAAGGCATTATTGAAGAAATTAACTAAAAGCAAGGATCTCTTGATTTAGCAACCATTTTGCCTCACTTTAATTTTTTGATCAACGTTATTTTAAATTGGTCGATTACTAGTCAATAAACAGTACCTTGGTGCTGATTTCCAAATGCTGACCATTTATTTTGCAGTCTTCTTACACCAAGTAAAGGAAATCGGAAATGTGGTGTACTCAGTCGGCTGTTAAGTGCCCTTAGATGGTCGGTAGAAAACGCCCAGTTACTCAAGTAGACTCGTAAAGATTTAGTTTCCTTGCCTTGTTTGTTCGAGGTAAACAGTTTTGATGTGCTTCTAAAGTTCATTAGATACTGGTATTCTACATAAAATGAACAACTCTTGTGAATATCAACACAAAAGAAACGTCCCGCACCATGCAGTTTCCTGATAAGAATACTCACCTTTTTGCTAGTGGAAATTATTTTCTTCACTTTCTAAACTGATCTATTTCATTATCCACCCTCTGAATGCTTTCACTTTAATTTAGCACTAAGTCTGCCACTAATAAACCCTGTTTTGTTTGAGAGAATACTGAAAGTAACAGACTTCTTGCAATCCAATACAGATAAAAATCAAACAACTGAGCGACTAGTGGCGACTAAACCTAATGACTAGTGATACAGAAACATTTTAGTGTGGATTGTAACATCAGTCGAGAATTACAGCTCTCGCACCGGTTCATTGGTTGTCACAAGAACTTGGTTGGCTAATTATTACATCGTACTATGCATTGTTCATTTTCTGCATAACATTTATTGACTACAATTCCCTTGGTACAGTAGATCTTACATAGAACTTGTCGGTTTACAATTCTCCAAAGATAGTATGTGGGTAAATTCCCGTTAAGTTGTCATAGTCAGCCATTTTGAAGAAGCATTTGGTCAAATTTCAGCTCTGCTTGGGACTAGGGAGTATAAAGTGACTCAATCTCAGTGTATAATGGTATCCTCACTGAGACTTAAAGCTACCTCTCATTACTCGAAACTCCACATGATTATACAATATAATACTGGTTTGTGAAACGACTATCATTTGTTCTTTATTGGTACCTAGATACTGGAGTGCGGACGTATCCAGTTGAGTAGAGTAAAATAGAAAGAAACATGCATCCTAGTATCCATCTTAAATAGTAACAATTACAAGTACCAATAAGCTTCAAACAAAACATTGACAATGCTCACCTTGTTTTCTATTCACTGACTGATTCTTCAATTCATGAAATCAGCTGAGTGCCGAGAACACTTGTTATTGTAGGCGTTCACCAAATCGTACTGCTTGATAGATATGATAGCTAGCACAACCACCCGACAGATAATTCCGGGACATTTAGTGTATTTGAAAAATATTAAACAAAATAAATTTCTTCACGCGTGGTTCCTCAATGACGATGAGTCTGCCAGTCTTAGTGAACAACTTTCTGTAAGTACTCCAGTGATATGATGTATTCATTTATTCACATCATTCATCACATATAAAGTGGCTTTTCTCTACTTTAATGGAAACAATGGGAAGTGAGCTGACAGATTCATGTTTGCTCTAGGTAGAAATTACAGTGTTATGGTCAGTTTTGGCAGTCGCAGGAAGAACCGACAAAGAGCAAGACCTAGCCTCCATTGTAATTGGGTTTCAGAACAAAGTGAACACCAGTGTGTTAGCCACCCACTGCAACGACAAATAACAGCATTCCACGTTTACACCGTCTTCGTTACATTGCGAAAGCACGTGAAAAGCAGCAATTCAATTGAAGAAACATTCCGTTACAATCAGATCCTCATCAATGGCTATACAAAAATACACAGCATATTCAAAATACTGAAGACCACATCAGTCTAGTGGCATAAAGTTGATTGATCTCAAGTAGTCAAATGGTGATAACCAGTCAAAGAAAATTACTACAGTACGTTATTATTATTTATCACTTGGCCCTTGTGTTCCAAGTGTAATATAGGGCTTAAGTAGCATGTCGATATTTCACTCTCTCCTCTGCAGTCTTTCCAACCTGGCCCAACAACTGCCCACAAGCCTCCATTTCTTCCTCACACCATCTTCATCTCACCTTCACTTCGGACGCCCAACTCATCGTTTCCCCCTTTGGATTCTACTCAACGGCCTGGCACATGATACCCCTGATCGGTCTTCTCAGTGTATCCCCAATCCAATCCATCTCCACTTTCTTCTGCACATATGTTGGGCGACGGATTCTTGGTTGGTTCGTTACCAGCCAGCCAGAGTTCCTCCCCACTTATTCTTATTATTTTGGCCATCTGGTCTTCAGTATTGAGTGAGCGTAGGCAGGCGGCAGTTGTTGATGATGTATGTCTGTAGTCTGTTGGAAATGCTTTTCGTAACGCGCCAAGTCTCTCAGCCATATCGAAGCACTGTGTTGAAAATCCGGACCTTGTTCTTCATGCTCGGTGGAGTGGAATAGATCTCCACACTGATTTCAGGTTGATGAAGGCCTGTCTTGCTTCCCGACTCTGTCTGGCTTTGACATTCTCATCTGTTCCTGTGCCTGTGCATGTGCCGCCTGTAGTTGAAACGATACTGCCTAGGAAGGTGGGTGAAAGAGACTACTTCCTTTAGATTTCTCTCGTTCATGGTGATTGGTGCTTGGTTTTAGTTGGTTGATTGATTGATTGATTGGTTGGTTTGGTATTTTCATCACCTCTGTCCACTCTACATTCACCTAAGGGTAGTCCAGTCTTCCTTCGCTACCTCGCCTCTACTGTCAACTTCGAGTTTGTACGACACTAGGCATCAGACATAAGTCATCATCAGCGGCGAAATCCAAATCGTCCAGGTTCTTTTCGTAGGTCAAACAGCGTACATCTCTCTTCCCGCCCCTCACAGTTGTCTGTTGCATGATCCAATCCAGTCCAATCCACTACAATCAGAAAGATGATCGGTGATAGTAGACGACAACCTTGTCTTACTTCTTCCTGTCTTCACTTCAAAGTCATCGCTGAGATTTCCATTATCAATCACATGGCATGTAGCATAATATGGCATATAGCTGCTGTTGAATGAGGTTGATAAATAGTTTTGTGGCACTAAAACCATAGTGTTGAAACAGCTGCCTGCCAAATTACTTCTCGGTCGACGCTGTCGAAGGCCTTTTCAAAGTCGATGAAGTTGAGGCAAAGTGAAGAGTTGACTGCCATTCTATACTCTACTCTATAATGATGCACAGCGTATCGTGGTTATTAAATCAACCTCACCCGGACACCCGATAGCTGCTTCGATGGACTTACTACCCGCTAAATATAATTAGAATGATTCAGGGGATGAATTCTGTGAAAAGGTGTCAATTTTACTCAAGAAACAAAAACTTTTAGATGCATTCATAGCGACCGGCGACTGTAACTCTCAAGTGGAAAAGCTGAACCAATAGGAAAGACATCTTGAAGGAATCAACGGAATACCATGCCAACCAACTGACAACGGTAATCGTCTGTTCCGATTTCGTCCTGACAGTCACTCGTCTCTGGTTAGCATAACCCTTAGGCACAAAGAAAGACAATGTTTCATATGACTTCTGCCAATGTCAAACCAACGGTAGGTACAGATAGATCATATTGCTTCAAGTCATCGTTGGAGGATTGCTGCTCTTTCTAGAATGCCAGACTGGACTCAGATCCGTGGTAGTGTGGGGTCGTGTTTGCCTGCACCTTAGTGGTCACAGAAAATAGGCCCTAGTTAAGTCTATGCGTACTCTATTGCAAGGTAAGAACACCAAGTACATATTAATGGAGAAGGAAAGTAAGCAGTTATCTGAATGTGACAGCAGTGTTCACCATAAGGAAACACTGTAGAAACAGTGGTAAGGACAGTTAGTAACCAACATCAAAAGGTTATCAAACGCCAGTGGATTCCCAAAATGTCATTCAAACCGACTGATGAGAAAAGATTCATTCCAGTTGGCTCTGACCACAACGAAGTTACTTAAACGTAAGTTGACCAAGAATCTTAGCAACGATCTCGAGCACTGGCGAGTAGCGACAGTGGGAGATATGGATAAGTCATCAGCATTAGATGACACCCAGAAATTAACCAGGCTTACTAGGGATATTGCCAAGAAGATGGTGGTTATTGGA